GCTTATCCGGTCACATGCCAAGTAGAATTTTAGCGTTTAGTTTTTTATTTTTTTAACTGTTAAAACATTTATTAAACTTATGGTTTATCCTTTTCAAGACATGTTTTATTACCATATAAATCAACATAATAAAGCAAGATGTCTACTCAAGTGTGTGTTTTTATTTTCTTTTAATTTAATTAGTTGAAAATATTTTAAAATATAATGAGATACCGTAAATAAGTTTAGTGTTGGGGACTAGCATTCAAGGAGTTCAGAATATATATTGTGTTGTTGTATTGAATGTATTAAATCCATACATGCATACTTTGTTTTGTAGAATAGTCTGAGTCTATGCATATAAGATATCATGGGTCATCTATTTATGTCTTAGGGGTGTTATGGTGGGAAACCTCTAATGAAAATGGGAGGCTATCATGACCAGATGTAATACTTCAACATAATCCTTATAGACATCTCCTGACTAAGGTGGTTCAAGGGAGGTCACTATTGATAGATGTTTCCTACATTATTCGATGGGGTGATCTCATTCCATGATTCCTAGGTTATTCTATATACTTGACGAGGAGGAAGAAATTGGAACCACATGCACATAAAGCTAAGAACATCCATTGCACGAGTCTTAATTTATAATTAAGTCAAATTATATGGCTTGCTGGTTATGGATGATGAATGAATGTATGAAAATGGTTATTATGGATGTTTGGAAGGATATGCTTACATGTTATTGATGTTGTAGATGTGTGTCTATCCTTATGCTTTATATATTTTTTGAATAAATGAGATGTATTTTCACTTTCTATATATGTTTGTGTTACTTGTGTTTTAGTTGATTACCATTTGTAGGAATATATCAGGTATAGGAAGGCGTATTTGATGGAGGAGAAGCTTAGAACTTCATTTTTCTAGATTTTGTTCTGATTAGTGTGGCATTGGGATGGAGTTTTGGTTTTAGTAATTAATTGAAGTTGTTTTAAGTTTTATTTCCTTATGTTGTACTATTAGAGTTTATTCTATTAGGCGATTGCACTTTATTTCGATTCATACATTATTTTCTTTATATTCACTTTCATTTATTAAAGTTGTGAAAAAGTAATGAAAACCCTTTTATGAGGTTTTGAGACAAAAGAATTATTATTATTTTATAAATTTTTATATTAAATTATTTAATTCTTTGTTTAATTATTTTAGGGTAGAAGGATGTCACAAACACCGTGCCTAAAGCATTTTTAACACAACCACCTCAACACTATACAACATACAACTCAACTTTCATTCAACTTACAACATTAAACAACTTTGATATCCACATACATCATCCCATATCAATGTATAAGGAATTAAAGTTATACAACAATATGCAACATGTGAGCATTTCCATTTATGCACACAATATTCAACACTTAGCCAAATAACCAATACAATCTCATTTAGCACCTCAAGCCCAACATCATTCCTCCCACGCACAAGTTCATTAAGGCAGAGAGCATCTAGCTCGTCCACGCTTGATGCCACTCCACTTGTGCCTATCATTAATGAGACAAAGAGCCCTTATGACAATCACATTTGGTGTGGTTAAACCCACGCTCTGTCCCATTAAGATAGCGAGTCTCTACCTGACTCATGCCCAACGTCATAATACTGACACCCAACATTGTCTAAGTAGAAAGCCTCTATCTTGATTATGCTTGGGGCCACTCAACTAGCATTCTATGTCACCAAGTTAGAGAGCTCAAAAGGCATCCACATCCAACATCCCTCAACCCACGCCTGATGTGATCCAGTTAGAGAACCCTCTTCTAACTCACTCTCGATGCCTTGAAGTTGCGCTCAGTGCAATGGTAATTTCTACACTTGGTAGAATCACAAATTTGGCTCCTTTCACCTGAAAATCAGAAGATACCAAATAACTTAACTACAGTTATAAACACTCCAATTCCAACCAGAACAATATTATGTAACAATCATATGATCAAGACACCAATTTTCTCCTTAACAAAACCAAAACTCAACACATGATAATATCATATCCTAATCATCAGCACAACCACGAATTTAATGGATTCAAGAAATATACAACTTATACATCACCATGACATCAACATACAAGCTTCCTTTACCTCTAAATCAATATGGAAAAGAGGTAGAAGAGAAGATGGAGACCATCTAGGGAAACTTCGCACCACTACACTACAGTCTCAAATTCTCAACTCCAAAAGCTTTGAATCTCAACTGGGTTGCTATTGACTTTGGGGAAAGGATCCTATGACTCTTTTGCATAGTCATAGAAAAAGAAGGAAAACTTGGCTCCATAGTTCCTCTCTGTAACTTCTCTATAAGTTTTCTTAAGAATTAAATTTGTGAAACTCAAGTCTTTAAAGAAAACCTTGTATACCTTCTTGGGATTGGTCAATCCGACCTCTACTCAAAATAATTTCCTAAACAACAAAACTCATTAGAACTTATAAATTCTTAGTCTCACAACAACTAATCAACTAATCAAAGCCAAATTTAAATTAACAAAATCAATATTAATAAAGATACACAGTGATACAAACCTAACCTTATATATATGTTAGCTAACTACTGCCACGAAAATGGTGGTGGCGGCATTAGTGATACTGGTGATGATGATTTCAATGGTGTTAACAACAATGACAATGATAGAGACAATATCAGAATGATGGTTTGTGATACTTTATTTTTTTTAATCTAAGTCATTTAATTTAATCTAAGGGTTGAAATCAAAATCTCTCTCGCTCTCACATAAAAAATATTTCTCTCACAAGATATGTCTCATGTGTGTGTGCATTCATGCGTGCAGATGTGTGTGTGTCCATGCATGTGTGTCTTCTATGAGAATAATTATTTTATGTGAGAATGATCTGCTTGAATAGTTAAATTAAAATTTAAAAAAAAAACCCAAATTAATTATAATATAAGAGTTGTATAATTACTAATAGGCTTATCTACATTTTTTTAGGTCGTATCATAAAATATATTCTTATATATTTTTAGGCAAAACTTCTATACAAGTTAGGTCATTTAAAAAAAACTACAATTAATAAATAAGTTAGATTCAAACTTTACAATTTTAATAGATCAAATTCAAACCTATCAAAATTTGGTCTAACCTATCATATTTTCATCTTTAAATTGAAGTATTTAAAACCTCCCTTCTTATGTGAGTCAATGTTGTGTGATAAATAAAGCAATACAGTTTTTTATCTATCAAAATTATAATAATAATATCAAGATTTGAACTTAGGATCCTCTGTATTTTATTTCAATTTTTTTCCATCACTAGATTAACTCTAATAATTTAAAACAATACAATTTAAATTAATAAAATATATATAAAAACTATAATTAATACATCTTCTTTCTAAAATGAATACGCATCAAATATGCACTCAAATTCATAACCAAAAAACATGATTGACCTATTGTGGAACACAAAAATCAACTTGATGTTTGCAAGATCAATTCTTATCAATATTAAAATAATATTTAATCGTTAAAAATCATATTTCACATGTAAAAATTAGTATTTAATTATTAACTTTGAAATAATATGTGATTCATGTGAATGAAAAAAAAAATTATAGCAAAACACTTAAAATGTAGTATGAAATAATAGTTTCACACTCGGGTAAGTCTCTAATTCTTTTTTTTAAGAGATAAACATCTAAATTCTAACTCAGGTTCATCTAGAGAGAAATTTCTCTACTATCATCCATATAGACCAAAGAAATTTGTTAAATGGCTAGCCCTAAACAAATTCTTAACCAGAAATGATAAAACTGATTTTGATGAACAGAGACAGAGTGGTGCTATTTTAGAATTTTACATAGTGATTGCTGATGCATTCTGCTGTCAGAAGTTCCACATTCGTGTGACAAACGATGCGGCAGAGTGGGGAGTTATCTCGAGATGTTTCACTGCTTTTATATTCTCTCTGCTTACAGATCTCCTTATGGCAGACCAAAGATATGCTTTAATCGAAAGCCACGACTCACACACCCCCACCAACCCCGCCATTTCGTACACTTTTCATAACACCGGTTAACCTCGTGTGCACCAACGTTAATGTTAATGCTAGCTAGGCTCAACATACTTTCACGTGCAACTTTCAAATTATAATTTCATCTAAATTATATAATTGATTTCAATTATTTACACACACAAATTGGTTTCAACTGAACCATTTGCGTCTTTAGCTTTGGTAAGTTTGCTCCTAGTTATATTCTGGAACAGTTATTCGAAGATCAAAAGAAAAGGGCCCAAATAAAAAAGAAACACCCATGTGGACAGTGGGTTAGTTAATGATCAGATAATCAGGGAAACCCGTGCAGGTCACATGCGCCTTTTGATTTGTAATTGCCAACGTCGAAATACAAGGACAAGCAACAGTTTGCATGCATTATTAGCTTGCTCGGAGGAGTAAGTAAGATTCACATTCCCTCTCTCTTACATGGTACGGACTTTTTCTTTTTATTTTTAAACACGCAGTTTAGACAATAATAGTTATATTTTAACGTCAATGTATGTTTTTAAGACAAATGTATACAAAAAAATATAAAAAATAAAATGGAAACAACTATATATACTATGTTATAAACCACGATATGTCAATTTTTTAATGATCAAATAACGAATCTGATACCAATAACTAGTAAGCCAGGAAGCTAAAGCGTAACAGTAAAGCACACAAAGCACAGCTGCAAATAAAACAAATGGGACTCTTTAAAGCGAAGGAGAATTTGGATCTTCAGTCACCCACATGCCCAATATGGAACCATTCCATCAACTTTTTCAACAAAGACATCACTTCCTATGTGCATGTATTAAACATAAGTTGTCATAGTAGTTCTCTTTAATTTGGAACTTGATATTCCTTTAGTCTTTCTCTTAAACTAACAAATCACACTTTGCTTTGAGCAAGACAATAAGTAAAAACTAAAAAGGCAGAGAATTAATAGATTGTAACAAACAAAAACTAAAAAAACTTCAGCGGATAACTGTATAATTATAAAACTATATGGAAAAGTTTCGAACCAACCTGACCCAACCCAGAAATTCTCTATGCAACTATCTGTGACACTGGAAGAAATAAAAAAACTACGGTTACTAATCCATCCACCGTTTACATAGACTACAACATCAACACAAAATTCTCTACGGTCCAATGTTTGCTCCATCAACCAAGACCAATAAACCTATGCTACAGATATACCTAAAGGACATCATGAAACAGATTAAGCTGATAAAAAGACAAATCAATTGCTCAAAGCTATGCCTAATTCCAGGATTCTCAGGGTGCAACAGGCGAATGAAATCACGGTGGAGGGCCATACCCTGGAAGATTAGGCCATTGATTTTGTACGAAAGAAGAAGAACCAACACCAGCACTAGAACTAGCACTAGTCCTCTCAGAGTTACCACCAACAGTGGTGCTGATGGTGCTCCACAAGGATGCATCAGAGGCTCTATTACTAACAATATTATTATTGATGAAGCTCCGAGACCAATCATGCTGGGAAACACCACTGATATTAGTATTAGTATTTGCCATGCTGGATGATATTGATGGATTAACCAAACCTTGTTCATACAGAGACACAAACTCCCTCTCACCACTCCCCATTTGGTACAATTGCGGTGGACGAATTGGCCCAATTGCACGCTGCGAGTTAAATGATGAAACACTGAAACCAGAGAGAAGGCCCAAATTTGAAGAACGCAAGGGGTCACTATTAAGAGACTGATCAAAAGGGTGTGATGAAGGGTTATTGAGAGAGTGCATAGCAGCCAGAGAAGACAAGTAGCCACCACTATGGTAGAAGGGGCCCATTGAAGGTGAAGCCACAACTGAAGAAGAGGAAGAAGAAGAAGAAGAAGGGTCTTTAGCCCTCACAACTGTTAAAGAAGGTGGCTGCGTTTGAACCACCACCTCTTGCGGCCGGGATGAAGACTTCTCCGCCGCCGCTGAAGATGAAGTAGAACTCTTGGCACGCTTCCCCTTGCGGCAACCACCACCAACGGGAACGTTCCTCAAGGTTCCACCTTGAGTCCAGTACCTCCTACACGTTTTGCAAAAGTAACGAGGTTGTGACAAGCTATAGTTGTTGTAGTAGCAAAATTTGGTGTTGAAAGAGTCGCATCGAGGGCACTTTTGAGGTTGCTGAGGAGCCTGAACCTGTGCATCACCTTGTTGCATCATCTCCTTCACTACTCGATCCTGAGCCTGAGGGTGCTTGTTTGTGTCACCTCCTTCTTGCTCCATCTCTTCTATTTTCTTTTTTTACCCTTTTGACTTTTGAGTTTGTGTTTGTATTTTGAGGGATAGATGTGTTGTTTTGTATTTATAACTGGCTAGCGGTTGGTGGTGGCTTGGAGGAGCATGCAGGTAATAAGGGAAAGTACGAGTTAAAAGTGTGCGGGGGTTTCAGATTTGAGGGATTGTATGTGAGTTCTACGTGTCTGCGAAATGTATCCGAGAATCTAAAATGACCAAAACCACGGCAAGTTACCTTGTGCATGAGTTCCACCTACCCACAATTAACAAAAGAAGCAATCGGGTATCTCAAATTCCCATAAAAGAAAAGTTCAGAATATCTAATATGTGTGTATATGGTAGTGTGAATTGAATAGGATCGTGTGAAATCTCGGTGGATTCTGTCGATCTTGAAACTCAATAAATTTCCATGTTTTCAAGTGTTGTGTATATGGAAAGATGAGGAAAGGTGGAGGTTGGGATTGATATGCAAGTGCAACGTGGACAAATGGTCTGAATGGGGAGAGGGGGCAATTATACAGTGGTTAAAAAAAAGAAATGGGGTGAAGCCCTTTTAAGGTTTGATTGAGGGATACCTGAAACTTGTAATTCACAAGGTAATCTTTCTCTATCAGTTTGAGTTGTAGCGAGTCACGGAAAAAAAACAAAAAAGTAAGTACTTAAGAAGTGAAGAAAAAAAGGAGTTGAAGAAGTATAGAGTAAGGACCACCAGGCTGAGGCTGAGGCTGAGGCGGCTGTAGAGGGAAGGCAAGACCAAGAGTGGTGAATGAAATGGTGGCTATGTCAGAGCTGCGAAACTCTCTCTCTCTCTCTCATGCCACCCCACTGCTACACCTTTTAGACTTCAATTCATTTTTAATTCAAAAATGATCATATTCATACAACATATATGTGTTCAACACGACTGTGTTACATATTTGATTTAATCCACTTCTTATAACACTTTTTTTTTTCTTTTATGCATTCAAGTTTATTCAATAAAAAGTAATTCTCATATAATTAATTTTCTGATTTCCAATTAATTTTGATACTCTCTCGTCATAATATTTATATTTAATTTTTTTTTTACATTTTTTAGCAAATTTTTTAATTATTATTTTTAAACTCTAGTATCAAAATTATTTTATAGTAATTTGTATTTATTAAATAAAAGATTAAGTGATATTTTTGTGACAATCATAATTATATTTGATATCATGTCCCTGTATGATATCTTGTAAAAAAAGTTTAATAAATTTGTAAAATAAATATTATTTGTCTACCTTAAAAAAATGTTAATAATTATAAAATAGTAACTTTATATTTTATAGAAATATAAATCAGAGAAAAACATTTTATAAAAACTGATTAAAATTAAAATTTTCTTGTTTTTTAGGAATAAAGTAATCATTCTAAAAAAAATTAAGATCAAAACTAACATTTGTTTATTTTTAAAGAGATTGAAACCATATTTAAATTTTATAGTAATTTTTTTTTTAATAGAAACACTCTTGTGATTACTTTTTATATTGTAAATATAGACAAACCAATTGTATTTATTGGCATTAAATATAAGTAAATAATTAATTTTACCTTATTTGATATAATTATTTTCAAAATAACTTTGTTCAATTAAGATTTTATTTTCAATTGTCATTTTTATTCTTAATATTATATGTTAAGAAAAATCAGTTTAAAAAAATAAGTTATTTTTTAAATATGATTGGTAATATTGAATAATAATTAATTAATTTTCTTAATTAACATAAACTATTTTTTTATATTAAAAATAGAGGAAGTATTTTTAAATTTTTTCTTTCCATAAGAGTGTTTTTACTTAAAAAAATAGTCTTATTTTAATCTGTTATTTTTATTTTTAATTATATTTTAATATTTAAGAATTATCAATAATTAAAATAATGTTATAAAGATATAAATTATTTATTATAAATTTAAAGCATGGTATATATTATAAAAAATTATTTATCATATATATGGGTGTGGATACCTTCCTTGTGTGGACGCGTTTTGGGGTGGCATGCGTGTCATTGCCAGAAACAAAACCGTGAAGGCTGCGGCCAAAGCGGACAATATCCACATGCGGGTTGCTGGGATGTTACACAAGGAAAATGTATGAGTTATTGTGATTTTTTTTTTTTGCTAATATTTAATATTTTTTACTATTATTACTAAAATTTTAAGAAATAATTCATAGTTTATATATTTTTTTAATTATTTTATCTCTAGTTGATGTAAAACTTGTAAAATAAAAGTTGTCGTCCACTTATATATTTTTTTAATTATTTTATCTTTAATCGATGTGAGATTTGAGTCTTTTTTAATAAAATGAATTAAAAGTTACTTTTATTTTTTTATCGATTATTTCTAATAATTATCTTATAAATATATTTTTAGTAATTTTTATTTATTAATCATTAATATTTTTATTAGATAATAAAAATACAAACACTTAGTTTATTATCATTGAATAATCATCATTAATAATAAATTTTGATATAGTGTAAATATAATTTTAGTAATTATTATTTATTAGTTATTAATAATTTTTATTAAATAATAAAATAAAAATAATTAATTTATTATTATTAAATAATTATTATTAATACTAAATTTTGATGTAGTGTTATTTTTTTAATTTTTTATTTTTATAATAATTGCCGTTATTTGTTTTGGTACACGATTTGAATATATGTGGTTAATAATAGTAGACTATATATTTTTTTATAAATATAATAACTTTGAGTTTTATGTTTCTACAATAATATAGCAAACTTTTTATTTCTCATTTTACATTTTTAGCAAGATATATAATAACTGCAGATCTTATAGGAATAGAAAACAAAAATTAATTTCAAAACTCAAAAATAAATCCACTATACTAATAACAGTTTTCTTAAGATAATTAATAAATAGTTTTCTTTTATAATTATGTACAGTTTTTATGGTAATTAATTAAAGATAAAATTAAACAATAAATTGTGAGTATAAAAAAAGTAATATCACTTTTATTATTAATATCGATAATCAGTTTGATAATAATATAAAAAAAATCGTGATTATATAGTTTTAACGACTTAGTATCGGATTTATTACTTTATGACATCAGTTTTTGCGTGACAAACCTTTGACACCCATATTGACTATTTCCCAGGAACATGTTCTAGACCAATTTTAGGTCCTGTTTTTCTGTTCTCTCCGGTTAAATAACAAAAACAATGTTAGACGCCAAGTACTCTTTCCGTTTTTTTTTCATAGTACTTTTGTCAAATTTTGTTATTTTATTTTATTATTATTTTTTTTAAATTAATGACTTATTAATTTTTTTTTTCATTTTTATTCTTAATAATTAATACATGTTTACTGAACAATGTGTCTATTCATTTTTTAATATTATTTATTCTCCAACCACCTAAAAGATATAACAGGAAAATATGTAATAAATACTTTAAAAAACTAAAATATCAATAATTATTTTAATTCTTGTGCATAACCTTAAAAACAATGAAAAAAAAATGGACAGAGTATTAATTAACATTTACTAGTACCGTGCATTCTGTTGAAAAGAAGAAAAAATTGTGACAAATGGAATAAATAAAAATAGTTAGGAGAAAAATAAAATGAATATAAATAAATAAGAAATAAAATGAAAATGATACTATTTCTTTTAAGATAAATAAAATTAAAAATTTATAATTATTAATAAAGGGAATATATTTTTAAATAACTCTTTTCATTTTTATTTTTAAAAAAGAAAATTTCATTCGATTATGTAGTAATTTCTTATGAATAAATGCTAAAATAGAAAAAAATAATAATAAATATATATATATATAAAATGTAACGAATTATGTAATTGTTAGAGATAATAAATGTTTCAACCCTCAACTAAAATAAAAAAGAATGCTTATAAAAAATAATAACTACTTTTTTTTGAAGCAAATGAACTTAACTCATTTCATTAATGATAAGAGATGCAATACATGGAGGAATAAAATCGAAAAAGTGGTGACTAGCGGAAGATCTAGCCACCCTTGCTAAAGTGTGGGCGACCCGATTGGCTTGTCTCCTAATAAACCTAACCTGAAGGTTTTGATGGGAACGTAACAGGGATCTACATTGATTTATAATGATCCCATATTCAAAGTGAAGAACCTGCGTGTTGTTGAGATGATCCGCTACTTGCTTGCAGTTCGTTTCCACACAGACATTTTCGTATGGAGAATGGATGAGATATTGGATTGCTTCCAACATAGCTGCTGCTTCTGCCTCATGGGGTGGTGGTAGCCCATGCTTCCATCCAGATATGGCAGTCTGGAATAATCCTCTTGTATCGCGGACACAAATACCGAACCCAAAGGTAGAGGAATCGTTGAAGAGCGCCGCATCAACGTTGCACGTGAAAGTGTCGGCTGGAGGTTTGGTCCATCTGTGGTTCACTACGGGGGAGGCAGTTTGCGCCAAGTTCCTGTGTGCAGATCGCCATGCATGGAAATGTTGTTCCGTTAGCTGGATTGAGGTTTTTGGGGGAGGGGCACCCTCCTTCCATACTTTGTCGTTTCTCCGCCGCCAGATGCACCAAAGCATGAGGGTGAACGATGTTAAGTCAGAACATGTCAAGTGACCCAGCAGTTTCCATGTGGTGTCGATGAAGCTGATGCCTTGCTCTACTATATGGGCGATCCGCGGCCAACATCCTGAGTCTATCCATATGGATATGGCGGCTGGGCAGCTATAGAAGAGGTTCCATTCGTTCTCTTGGTTTGCAGAACAATGGGGGAAAGAAGACGTGCATGGGACGCCTTTCTGTTGTAGGTTCAGGCGCGTGGGAATGCAACCTCTCAATAGTCGCCAGAGGAAAATCTGTGTTGAGTGAGGGATCTTCAAGCTCCAAAGTTTCATCCAGTCACCCTGCACTCTCAATGTATTGTTGGAGATGACATGTTCCATGAGATGGTGATATGCTGTGCGTACCGAGTAGGAGCCATTGGTGGTGAGCCTCCAAGTTAAAGAATCTGGGCGTGAGGGGTTCAACAGTGGTATAGATAGGATGGATTGAGCATCTTGATGATTGAAGAGAGTTTGAACTCGATGTGAATCCCACTTGTGAAGAGTGCGGTCAATGAGGTCGTGGACAGTGAGAGATTCGTATCCTTGAGGGGCTGTTGAGGTAACATACGAGCTATGTGAGTTGCGGAGCCATGGATCCTTCCAAATGTTAATAGAAGATTCGTTCCCTATACACCACCTGGCACCTTGCCTGACTAGAACCTGTGAAGCGTGGATGCTTCTCCAAATAAAACTTGGGTTGTGGCCCAGGCGGGCACCCAAGAAGTCCCCTTGAGGGAAGTATCTAGCTTTGAAGATCCGTGTAAATAGAGCATCTGGGTTGGACTGTAGATTCCACCCTTGCTTCCCAAGCATAGCCAAGTTAAAACCATGGAGGTGACGGAAACTCATACCGCCATACTCTTTCCGCATAGTGAGTTTATCCCAGCTTAACCATTTGATTCCTCGCCCTGTATGGTGGTTGGAGCCCCACCAGAAGGAGTTCAGCATTCTTTGAATTTCATCCTCGAGGCTGGTTGGTTAAAAAATAGTGACTACCAATTTATTTAAAAATATTTATTTTTTTTCACAAAAACACAAAGCCTCTCATTGCTAGTAAAAAAATGAATCAAACAACGGATGTTTTCAACTTCCAACCAATTTTCACACTATTTTCTCAAATTTTTACCTATTTTATTAATTTCCTACCGAAGTGTTAGAACTTAGAAACAATGTAATATAAAAAAAATAATAAAGTAAAATAACAAGTGTTACTGGAGTGTTCAATTTACAGTGTGTCTATAGACCTTTCAAGTTAAGTTAGAAGAG